ATGCCGTGTATGTTTTGAGTGTAGTCAAGCGCTGCTTGCGAAGGGAAGCACTGCTGGGGTTGCAGTGTAAAGAAGGTCAATCTGGTCGTGTGAAAGACGGCGATCGACGGGAGATCCAACAGTTTTGTGTCATTTGAAGGATGATCACACACACAGACACGACATCCAAAACAATCAGGCTACTGAGGCCACTCACTTTCTAAGCCTAAACACTGTTTGACCATATTCCTAACTTTTCCGTTATATTGGGACTTGACCTGTGCACATTTATTGCTATTTTTCTTTTTAAAGGTTTTCATCGATCGATACAAGGGGAGCATCTACAAAGGATCAAGTCCCCACAACCACACCATTGGCCTGCCCTGACTCTCTCTTGGTCTTGGCCAGAGTCCAAGACGCAAGTCCAACTGACAGAATGCGTTCTTGTTTGTAGTAGGAAGAGGTTGGTGATTTTGATCAACATGTTTCTTATTGGCGTGGTGTAAACTTCTTGTTCCAAAAGGGCTCATGACTAAGGATCGTCGAAATCACACATGCGAAGTCCATGCACTTTGAGCATCCTTCCACCTGATGTAGACATTGTAGACCATTCACTCCACCCCGTACTGTGGGGAATGGACCAAACAACATTCTGGAACTCCAGTATCTTTTGCGAAAGAGGATTTTGGGTTCAAAGTGCCTTGAGGCTACCCATGGGATCTATTTCACTCCGACCCGCTTGCGACTGCGAAACAATTGATTGCCCTGATTTCCACATGTCATGATTTACAGGCTTTGTTGGCTTGCCCTCGTGGCTCAATTAGAAAGACAAAGTCGAACACGATGTCAGCTGCTGAAGCGACAGACTGGCATGTTGTTCTTTTGCCAAAAACCTGAATGGGCCAAGAGTGACTGGGACGTCTCCTTTAGGTTTGGTGAATGTTGACTTGAAGTGCACTGTTTTTCTTTGGCTCCTATGCCAGGTCAGATGGCGAAACCAAAGCCCCGCCAGAGGAAGAGAAAAGCTCTGCCCGTGTTTGTGCTGAGGTGCGAGTCAGCATATAATGACAGGAGTTAGGAGTCATTGATAATGTGTGTCAATGTTGTATTCAGTCGAAGTCGAAGGGTGTTTTGCGTTTTTCATCAGACAAACATGGCGAGCCAAGAGCGAGTCCCTGACGAGTGAGTTTTTCTATGTTTTTCTGATCGTGTGCAGACCACCCTGGATGGATTGGCAGTGGTTGGACGTGGCGTAGTTGCCACAGGATCAGCAGCCCGGCGAGGGTTTTCGGATGTCGAGGATTCAACATCCGCACTGCGATCGATCCGAGGCATGTTGCATACATTCACATGTTTTTCTTGCGGAAACACTTTACCAACAATGCGATTGGACTGGTTTGTCAAGTGAAGGGTCACTACAGCAGGTCGTGCGTGTTTGACGCAAAATCGTTCAAAGTGGAACAGCTATGCCATGGGTGACTATGCCAGCTGCCAAGGCTATATTGACAGCTGTGCAGTACACCGCCTATCCTATCAAAGAGGCCTGAGACCAAGCAAGAACTCCCAATGGATCCAATGGGCTGGGATGTGTCGGCGGCTTTTTCCACTGTATGGCGGCTATTTTGTTTTTGTTTTGCTCCTAGTAGCTTCTTGCTCCTAGTAGTAAGGCCAGGAGCCCCTAGTAGCTTCTTGTTACTAGTAGTAAGCATGCTACTAGTATTAATGCCCTAGTAGCTTCTTGCTCCTAGTAGCTTGTTTTGTTTTTTTCACCTGATTTCACGAAAGACGAACTTGATGCTCCGACTTGCGGTCTCCCAGTGCTTTAGGAGCGTTTGATTCGTAGCGAACACTCACCCTTTCGTCCTGGCGTCCTTGTGCCAGGGCGTGATTTGCGTGATGGACACCACCAACGAGTACTTCACTCCATACTTGAAAAAGCCACACACTCAGATAAGTGCTAGCAGCTAGACTGTATCACTCAGGTCACTGGCAAGCTTAGAGTTGCCACTTTCTGGTGCAACTAAGGACGCCAATGACCGATGTTCCCACCTTTCGCTACGGATGAAGACGTGGATAAGGCAGAGCGGTAATCAATTTTTGCATCGACCCCCTTCTCTGATGGTTTGTGGGTCTAAATTCTAAGCTCATGTTCTTGAACAGGACTATCCTGCCTACTTGGTTGGAATTCTTTGGGGAGTCGGCCCTCCCCAAAACAGGGAAGTTGCGCGATGCGATCCAGGTAGAAGTCCGCCTCTTCGTCTCTTTGCACCATGAACTGCTGGCTGCTTTGAACAGCTGGCTGTCAGAGGCTGATTGGCCTGAGACTTGGTAGCTGTAGGACGCTTTGCATGGGCATGAGCCCCAGACTTTCAGGTATGGCTCTGACCATGTCTTGATACTCTTCAGATTCCCCCAAGTACGTACAAACCATGATAATAACAAATTTTTGCATAATTTGTTTGACCTGATTGGTACGATGTTTAGTTCTTTGCTGTGTGGACTGCGTTCCGGGCTTCGGCCGCCTGGTGTGGCGTCGTGTGGCTTCTCGGCCAAGCCGTGGAGAAAGACTCGGCGCGATGAAAATCCAAAAGGGTCTCAAAATCACAAGGGACGCCGCTTGAACTAATCATGGCAGTCACTTTGAGTTTCTAGGACCCACGAGATTCCATGGCCATGGAGGATGCTTCCAGTCGTCTGCGTCGCCGGAGCCTTTGTGTCAAGAGCTTTCCCTTGAACTGCTGTGTTGGAGAGGTCTTTGTACTGACTCCTTACAGAATCTCCATACAAAGAGTAGCCCGACACCATGAATTTGTACAGAAACACCGATTTGTCCGCCCTAGTTGTCCCACCCCATCTCAAGACCTCTTTTCTCAGCTTGCTGATCAAGGCAGCACACCTTTGATAAGTTCTCCGAATTGACTTTGGATTTGGGAACATAGCTTCCACTTGCTGGGTTTCTTTCGATTGGAGGGTGCGCTTTCGAAGCGCTCTTTCAAGTTGAACATAGCACTATTCACAGCCTTTATGTGGTCTCAGTGCCATGGCCAAAGATGTCAGGATAGGGCACTACGGAAGTTGGCTGTTGCCAAACATGTTTACAGAAACCCTTTTTTCAAGGATAGCAGAAATGTGGAAATGGGTGAAGTTGGAACCAGACGCAGCCACACATGCTTCAACGATCTTCAACGTCTCTATCTGACCCTTTTGTTGGTTTGGTCAAACTGCAACTTGCATCACTTGACTGGCTCCCATTTGGAAGGGCTTGATCTTCCCTTATCCAGTTCCAAATTCACAGCAAGGCATTCCCAAGTGTGTTCACCAGCTTGAACATGGCAGCATGTTTTGAAACCCGGGAGGACTGCGGGTACAAAGTCATCGCCCCGCGTCGAGGCTATGGGATGAGCGAGGATTTGTCGCTCGGGGAAGGTCCCCCCAGCTCCGACACCTCACATTGGGATGATGTAGATTTGCAGGGAACAGTGGCTTTGCAATGTTGCCACTAGCTTGTAATTGGATGCAAGGCGACACCAGAATGCAGAATCGCCTCTCATGGCTGTCCGCATACAGAGATACTGCACAAACAGATGATTGGGGATCTTGAAACGATGTGCCCACTCACAAAAAAGGGAAGGCCCAACAGGCCCAACCATATGAAGAGGTCTTCCGCTGATGATGGCCCCATAGTCGGCCAAGAAGGGTTTTGGGTTTTGGGTGCAGCTTCAAATCCCTAGGTTTCATCGGTCCGAACGGTCGAAGCTGTGCCAGGTGAGGCGTTCGGAACGTTTGAAGCAGACACCCCAGAGGCCGCGGCCTGCTGGTGGGTCTGAAGATGGGATGGGTCATCCTCCCCGTCAAGAGTTGGTGCCACCTGTCCAGCAGATCCATTTAAAGCTCAGCAGAGGAACAGAGGTTGAGCTTTGGGAATCCAAAGGAAATATCAAGAGGAAAAGGAACCATACAAACACACGGCATTTGGCAAGTTTCCATTTTGGCCAGGACGAAGTTACCTGTGACTTTGAGATGACGCATGTCTCCGCGTTTTGCAGCTGTCAAGACTTTAAACTTTAAGCAGTGGCAATGAAGCCTTTACCATCCCCAGCAAGTCCACTCCAAGCTTCTTGCGGCCCAGCGCTTTCAATTGGCTTTAAATTCTCTGAAGTGGTCAACGTGTCAATAGCTGATGGTGGATGGTTTGTGTGGCCCACGACAGTCTATGAGTGGCCAAGTTCCCCACGACTCAGCAAAGAAAAGCTTCTGAACCCGGGATCTCTCCGAAAAGCGGCACCCCGCACCTCCCTTGCTTCGTTGGCCATGATGGCGCGCCAGCTGCAGGGCCAGAGGTGGGGCCAGTGAGGAAAGAACGAAGGGAATGGTACCTTCACAAGCTTGAGGTAGGCTAAAATGGTTGAGGTCATTCTTTTTTGCATCTACAGAACAGAGAACAAGGAAGGATATATATCACACACACACAATTCACAAACACACCCACTTTCACTCACAGAAGTCAGTCTCGAGTCTTGCTGTTTTTGTTTGAGCACAGGAGCAAAAAAGTACATGGTTTGTTTTGTAACTTGGAAGGATGGGTAAGGGGGACCCAAGGGGCCGAAGGGGGCCCAAGGGGGCCCAAGGGGTTCGATGGTTTGAACTCTGGCGCCCAAGGTCTTGGTTTTCTGCCTGCAGAAGGCTGCCCGGCCGGACAAGGCGGAACGTGGTGGAGAGGCGAAAGTAGAAGCTCATAGAACGAGAACTGGACCAGAGACTGTGCTTCCTTGACGTTCTCAAATCCGCTGCGGTTGACAAGGCCATGCAGAACGTTCTTTAGTTTGCAGGGTTGACGTTCATTAAGCTCAGCGGTACCGAATCAACGTTCCAGGCGCTCTTGACCCTTTGGTGACACGCAGGCTAGGTTCGCCGATCTTCATTAATGATTCTTGCAAGCCCTTCCAGAAGAACAGTTGTGACAGTTGTCTCTGGATGTTCCCACCAGCACGTAATGCAGCATGTGCTGTTTGTCTCGCATGTCAAAGTCCAGATCCTCTCGGTTGGCGTCCAATCGGTCCAATCATACTGGTACTCGTATCGTCCAACAAAGGAAGGCTAAGGCTAAGGGTTACTCTGGCTGTGGGTTAGACTCCCCGTGCCAAACTTGATAGTCAATGAGCAGTTTCCAGGCATGTTCAGCTGCTGCAACTGTGAGAGGGCCAATCGGGCAGAGGCGATGCTGGGCAAAGATCACTTCCATTCTTGAAGGGTATTTGAGTTGGCCTCGAGAAGTGGATGAAAGATGGTAGCAGGGTAGACAACCTAACTCTTAAGAGAGATGGCGTTATAAAATAATGAGGTGCAAACGGCGATTAAGAGCGTTCCGATTGTTGATTCCATAAGCTACTAGTAACAAGGGCATCGCTACTAGTAACAAGGGCGTTGCTGCTAGTGACAAGAAGCTACTAGTAGCTAGGGCATCGCTACTAGTAGCAAGGACGCTACTAGTAGCTAGGGTTTGATTCTATAGCTTCTTGGAATTGGCCCATCCCAAACTAAACGCCTGGGCAGTTCGAGGCACACAAGGTGGTGCCCCTGCCTGAGAAGCAGCGGCGGGGTTCTGTGAAGGTGGCACCCGAGAAGGCCAGGTGGCCGGATGTCGGGGTCGCGCATGGAATCTCCTCCAGGGTTGGGTTCTAAAGATAAGGAGAAAAGGGGAAGGGGCAACTGACCGAGATTGGAACAACTTACTGCTGCTTGTTCTGGAAGGCTGTTTGGGTGGAGGATGAGAAGAGGGTTTGTAGCACGCATTGTGGTGAACGGTGTCCCCTTTTTGTAATTTTGTTTCAACTGCCAACCTCAAGTCCTCACATTCAGAGTGTTAGTTCATCGACTGCAGAAATTGTTATCTCCCACCTCCACTGCATCGTCATAGCCACAGGCTCCAGAAGTGCCCAAGAAGGACGTCTCTGTCGTGTCGCCCTCCTCCACGGTGGCGGAGACTCCTGAGCTTGAGGAGAAGGACGTGGAGGCCCTGGAGACTCAAGTCATGGAGAGGGTAGATAATTTTTTTTGCTATGATGCTCTGTGATGTGTCTGCAAGGCTCATGCAGATGCTCCTCCCATTGATGAAGTCAAGGACGTTTGGGCCCTTGGTGTTTGCGGTTGAGAGACAGGTCGAGTGCTATTTGCCACGATGTTTGCCACTTGCAACCTCCGTATGAGAGGAGGGGATCGTTGGTTGGACTCCGATGTGAGGAGGGTTCTTCTTTTAGTTGTTATGACAAAGTGGGATTTTGAAAGTGCAATCCTCAACAAGCATCTGAATGGTTCCTGGCCGTTTCCCACCGAGGCAGGCTCGCCCGTGCCGCGCACGCGCCGGCGGAGCCACTTCGTGCCCAGCGGAGCGAGCGGTGCCGAGGCGTCCGTCGCGCGGGGCTGGCCGACATGCGGGAAGAGAAGATGCCAGCAGAGGAGGTTGACTGACCTGTCCCTACCTTTGGGTTTGATTTATTGAAAAACATCAGATAGAAAAGGAGTTGGACAGAGCCACGTTGGAATTCTACACGAGAATCAAGGCTTCTCAATTGCTGTATGAGACGTTTGAAGCCCATGAACTGTCACTTTCGACCACCCTGAAAGTGTTCAGACTTCATGGGCTCAGCGGGCTCAGCGGGGTGGTACTTTTTAGGTTTTCCTTCATCAGCCATCCACGATGGTCCAGGCCGTCGAGGCGGTCGAGGCAGTGCCTCCAGAGCAAGCGGGCGCGCTGGCAGCAGTGGTCGTGGACGACCCGCGTGGTGCTTTCCAAGGTGGGGAACGGGGCTTTGCAATTTCAGAGACTTATTTTTTGATCTGGGCTATGTGTGATGCTTGTGTACATGAGGTCATTCTGAGGAGACAGTCACTAGAAGAAGAGTTCTTTTTGGTGTGCATTTACCATGTACTTTGGTGCAGAAAGCTGTCCCCAGCCAATCAGCCGTTCGCACAGCGCAAACTTCATATTGGAAGTTGAAGGACGGGACAACTTGAAGGACAAGGACGCTACTACACCCTCCTGGCATCGCTACTAGTAACAAGGACGCTACTAGGGGCTCCTGGCCTTACTACTGTTTGCTATTAGACACAGAGACACTCTGCCAACTTGGTTCGCCTCGTAGAGTTTGTTGGGTGCACCCAGCTGACCTGGTCACCTAAAGAAACACAACGTCACGGTGATGCTGGCTTGACCTGTGTGATAGATGGCCCTCCATGGCTGGGTGGAGGCTGGTCAAGCCACGTAGCCAGTAGCCACTGCTCTCACACTGCAGGCAGCCATGATGCCTGTCTTTTGGGAGTCACAAAGACTGTCCGGCACCCCAAGGACCACAGCAGATGTACTCTAGAAATTTGGTCCAATGACGAGCATATTGGCTCGTCTCAAAGGTAAGGGCTCCCGGAAAGGCCTTAACTGGGTGTTGTTGGGTTGGGCTGCGCAAACACCGACTCCTCGTCGTGTTCGTTGTCCCCTTACATCCTTTCCGTAAAAGCCTGGACTTACATCCACTGTTTGTGGCAGTGGCATTTGGGGTTCCTGACTTGTCAATCAAGCAGATCACAGTTCACTGCGCCGCTTGTGTGCCCCATTGTGAGGTCCGCGGCTCAACTCCTCTGGTCGAAGCTGAGTTCAAGGACGACCAACGAGAAGGTGAAATGATCTGTCCAAATATCAAGGTGTGAAAATTTCATTTTGCAATCTATTTCCGATCTCGAACCAGAAGGATGGTTGCTACCTTGCTACTGAACGGAGAACGTCGCCAGGAGAAATATGTGGAGCAGTCTGGTTGCGCTAGCGAGTCTGAAGCAAGGCGCATCTCCTTGTTTTGAGCACATCCAAGTGATTGGCACCTTGCCAATCTTTTTCTAAGCCAAATAACCAAACTTGCAGCGAGTGAAGATGAAGTGTCAAGGCGTACGGAGATTTGATTGTGGTCTCCCATGTTTGATGGGAGTAGAAGAAATGGATGAATGAACGAGCGCTTCACCTTTGTAGATCAAATCTTTCATTAAATTGTTGAGGAACTGCGTCCACAAATGTGCCCTGGTTGCCTATCAGGACGCAGTTCTCAAAGGCTGGTGTGGCAATAAGCTGTGCCAAGGCGGGGTCTGATAGTGCTCCAAAAAAGACATGTGGTGGCTAGAAGAGGACACGCCTTCATGGTCCTAAACAATTTTGGGTTTCTTGCCACCTTTCTTCATTTGATATACACAAGTGCAGGGTAGAGCCCAAGTGGTTGGGTCATTTGACCAAAGCTTTCTGGATAGGATTCTGTTTGTGAATAATAATTAAAGGCGAAGGCATGTCAACATGTCACCAGCGGTTCCAAGTGGACCAGTGGACCGGGTGGCTCCTTGTTTCCCGGCCAGGGCAGAAAACCTGGAACTCCCAACCAGGACGGGTCCTTGGTAATCAGACGACGGACATCAGTTGCCATCCGTATATAATCAGAGGTAGACAGCTGACTGAACTAGATTGCTTCAAGTGTCCTAGATTTCGTGAGTGAGAGGAAGGCACGGTGGGTCTGGAAAGACGTTTGTGGGTCATTTTGTGATGGGAATGGAGATGGCGACTCTTCCCTTTTTTAGTAACCTTTCAATCCTTTGTCCCCTGACCCCCTTTCCACCACGTCATTTCACATTGACTCAGCAGTCGTGACGGTTTTTCCTTTCCCGTAGGACAACTTCTTCGTGGCGCAATGTGGCCCCTTCCTTCTATGCTGTGTCGCTGATGGTCATGGTCCGCGCCTCATGGTCGTCGTCTGTCTTGAAGACGTTGGATATC